CTGGACTCGGGCACCAGCAGACTGCAGGTTTGTCTGGTGTTTTCTGGCGATGGCGTCAGATCCGGGCAGCGCCAGGCCCGTCTCCTGCTGGTGATTTCTGCTGTGACCGCTGGTCACAGTGTCGGCCACTTTCTCAAGGGCAGAGCCGTGCTCCCTGTAACTTGGGAACGTCCCGTGGGAGGTGGTCTGCCCAGAGCACCCAGGTTTGTTCCAGCGGTTGTTTCACCTCCGTCCCAGGTGGTTCTGTGGCCTCTGCCCGCCTGTCCTGTCCCCCTCAGAGCAGAGGGGCCTGCGTCCTCGGCTCGTCCCTCCCTGAGCTCCTGGCGGCTCCTCCCTGCTGGGCCCTCAGTGGGGTGGTCTGGGATCTCTGATCCTCATCTGCAGGGGCCCTCAGGCCTGACCTGTGCCAGCCTTTGGCAGGTGCGGTGGGGGGTGGGTGGCCGGCAGGGCCTCTGCTGGGGCTCTCAGCTCTGTGGGGTGTGGCCCGAAGCCGCCCCCCGCCCCCAGGAGCCAGGCCTCTGCTGCCTGTGGGTGATTTCCAGGGGCCTTTCTGGCTGTTTTTTACTCTGGTGTCTCCAGGGGCTGCACCTGCAGACGCCTCCCCACCCCCGCTGCTTCCTTGTCTGGTTCCTTCACTGCTCTGCGTGGGGCCGAGGTTGGCAGGAGCCCGGGGCTGTTTAATGACCCACAGAAGGTTCCTCTGGTCTCCTGCTGGGGGGTGGGTCGCAGCGGGCAGGGACTCTGCGCTGCTTCCTCCTGGTTTGGGCCCCTGGGGGTCCCCCGCTCCCCAGGCTCCTCCTCGCCGGCCCCAGCCTGGCGGTTTATTCCGAAGAAAACGCAGCGGCAGCGGGAGGCCTGTCTTTGGGTTAGTGTCTTGTCGGGAAGGAGTGAGGACCAGCGTCCGCTTTCATTTTTAAGATGTTCTGAGCCCTCGCTGTGCCTCCGGAGGCACTTGGACGAAAAACGGGAACGTGCGGCCTCGGGTGCCTGTCCCCTCGGCTGCCCGGGGCCAGAGGCAGAGGCAGGTGGGGTCTGACGTCCTGCTCCGGCCCAGCAGGTGGGCTGTTTGTGGGGTTCCAGTGTCATGGAAAGAGTGTGACTGGGGGGTGAGGGCCGTCCTGGGCTCGCTGGGCCCTGAGCTGGTCGCGGGGGGATGGGAATGTTGGTCCAGGTCCGGCCGGTCCGGTGTGACTGGGCCCCGCGGGAACCCGATGGCGCCCGGACGTGGAGGAGGGACATGCAGCCCCATGGCTGTGGGCCCTGGTCAGGGAGGCGCTCACTGTGAGGTCGGCTCTGGCCGCCCACAGCTTCTCGGAGTGGGGCGCACGGGGAGTGGGGCGCGGACTGGTCAGATCTGCCGGAAGTGCGGCCACCCGCCCTCTGCCTGCCTCGCCC